GTCCCCTGCCCCCAAGACTCCTGTACAAAACGGTATTCAGGAAGTCATGTCTATTCCCATCCGGCCCTCCCCAGTTCAAATTTCTGGATGTTAGCCTCTCATTTGGGCAGCGACTTGTGCAGTGTTTTGGAATGGGGATTGCTGTTTCTCTGAAATGGAACTAGAATGTCTCTTAGAGCCAACGTAAGGCCAGCAGTAACATCCCCCCACTTCCACTATGTTTAACCAACCCATGACACCACCTGCTTTTTCTGGAGCCTGAGTTTTGGATCTTCGTTTATGCTATCACAGTGGAACTGTGTGTTTTGTGTCTTAATGTGTTGTTAATCCCCTGTGCTGCTTCAGCTTTCGTGTCCATCCTCCATGGACATTCAGTGTCACCCATGCCTATTGCCACTCAGGTTGGTGAGTAGAGAAGCAGCATAGTAGAAATTTTATGCCTCATGTTCGTTTACTTTCTGACAGTGCTTTGTGCATCTAAAAAGTCTCTATCCCCTAGGCTCAGGGCTCCCTAGTGCATTCATTCCTGGCCCCTCCATCTGAACATATCGGTGATTTGCCCTCACATAGTTGACATGATAAGGCTCCTATTTAATGACTCACTTGTCTCCCTGTCTCTACAGTCCTGTGGCTGTAAACTGTGATCAGGATCTCTGCCTTTTTTGACACCCATGTTGGGTGATATTGAACCAATGAGTTCATTTTGTTTGTGCCTTGCTTTCTTAGTCCATAAAATGAGAGTAGTGAGACCATTACCCTCACCACCTCCCCTTCCCCCCATCCAGGATGAAGTGAAAGGCTGCATCTGTTCGGTATAAACAAAGCCCTAATTTACATGTAAATGCGTGTGATATCGCTGTAGCAGCAGAGCTGTAGCAGTGAAGCCCTCCCTCCTTGTGTGCAGGCAGCTTATGTCAGCAGAACAAGGCCCTTTTTTGAGCAGAACTTTACCAAGCACCATCAGCTATATCAGCAAAAACATTGAATACCAATATAGCTACATCCTTATTAGGACCTACAGCCCCGTGATATTTTAATTCCTGACTTCTTTTTAGGTGCTTAAATACTTTTGAGGATCTGGACCTACCTATTGGCACTATGGAAGTTGCCCTCTTCCCGGTGGAACCCTTGCAAACAGGTTCAGAGCAGACATGGTCTCACTTTATCAATGGCTGCAGAGCGCTCTGAGAAACTCTCCTAAAGGGGCCCAGAGCCCAGCAGAGCATGATCAGGCTGCTCTGGCTGACTTCAAGGGCAACACAACTGCTGCTGCTGCTTCTGACAATGCTGTTGGTACTGCAGGAGACTGGACAGGTTCTTCCTTATTTATCTGTTCTAGTGAACAGAACTAAAACCAATGTTGCCTTGAAAATGTGTCTCTGTTGATATTTTTCCTTTCATCCCTTACTGATGCTGTTTCAAAGGTGGCACATGAGAAGACAGTATATTGTAGAGAAGAAAAAAAACGGTGAGGACAGTACCCTAGCACCTGAGCAGTGACCAAACCTTAGCTTGGAGAAGGAAGGAGGGAGCAGTTTGTCACCTTTCCAGTACCAAGCACAGTTTTGCAGGTTCTCATTCTCCTACATCTCTTCTTTAGAAAAAATGAGTGAAGGAAGAAGACAGATGAGTCGAAAAAAGATGTGGCTAAAGGAGCTTTTTTTTAATGCTCAATTTTTCTACCTGCAGAGTGAGTCAGTTCAACTCATCCAACAGGAAATTCATCATCATGGCTAGGCTTCGCGAATGAAGATTTAGGAAGGGCTCTACCCACATTTGCTACAAGCGCGCTGGTGGCTGAAAAGGCCAGTGCGAGATAGACAAGATCAGTTGCAAAAGGCACAGCAGAAAGACTCCTTGGATGGTATCGGCAGGATATGATTCTTTCTACGTTGTATTTTCTCTTCGATGGTGATCCTGCGTGCGTTCTCAAAGGAAGCAGCAGTGTTATGGATTGTGTGTCTCCAAATTTCCCGATTGGAGGCCAGGGTAGACCAGCAATGAAGATCAATGTGGCCAAGACTGAGATGTTGTTTCAGGGAGTCCTTGTATCTTCTCTTCAGGGCTCCTCTCATGTGGCAGCCAGTGGCAAGTTCACCATAGAGCAGGATCTTAGGGAGGCGGTGGTCCTTCATCCTGGAGACATGCCCTGCCCAGCGCAGCTGTGTTCTCAGCAACATGGCCTCAATACTTGTAACTGCTGCCTGTTCTAGAATAGATGTGTTAGTTACATAATCTGACCAGTGGATGTTTAGGATTGTACGGAGACAGTTGATGGAAGTGTTCTAGGAGACACAGGTGGCGGCGGTAAATGACCCATGATTCGGACCCATATAAGAGAGTAGACAGCACAATGGCTCTGTAAACACTGATCTTTGTGCTTTTCTTCAGGTGTTTATTTCACCAGACTCTTTTATGGAGTTTTCCAAAAGCACTCTATGCCTTTGCTAACCTGTTGTCTATCTCTCCGTCGATCTTACCTTCATCCTTCATCTGAGGAGATGATGCTACCTAGGTAATTAAACTGCTGGACCTGATTTGAGCTCTGATTTGCCAATGGTGATATGGGGATGATGGAAGACTTCCTGAGGTGCAGGCTGATAGAAAACTTCTGTCTTCTTCAAGCTGATTTCCAGCCCAAAAAGCTCAGCAGCCTTAGAAAAGCAGGATGTTAAACACTGCAGAGCTACTTCTGTGTGAGTGACGAGGGCAGCATCATCAGCATAAAGCAGATCCGAGACAAGATGGTTTAAGGTCTTAGTGTGGGCCTTCAGTCGCCTGAGGTTGAATAGGCTTCCATCAGTACAGTATCGAATGTAGATACCATCATCTTCATCGAGGTCTGCCATGGCCCTTTGGAGCATCATGCTGAAAAAGATTGTGAATAGGGTTGGTGCAAGAACGCAGCCTTGTTTCACACCATTGGTTATTAGAAAGGGCTCAGAAAGTGTGTCACCATATCTGACTTGGCCATGCTGATCCTCATGAAGTGAGATGATCATTTTAAGGAACGTGGGGGGACAACCTAAACGTTCCAAAATCTGCCACAGAGCTTTTCTGCTCACAGTATCGAAAGCCTTTGTAAGATCAACAAAACTCTAGCAGAAGGCGACCATTATTGTTGCAGTTTCCAACACCATGCTTGCCTAATACTCCTTTCCAGGCTTCAAAGTTCTTTCCTACTCTGGCGTTGAAATCACCAAGGATAATGATCTTACTGTCTGCAGGAACCTTTTGGGTAAGGCAACGCAGGTCAGTGTAAAATTTATCTTTTTCGGCAGGGTCAGCTTGGAGAGTTGGGGCATATATACTACATGTTGCTTGTTGCAGAGTGGAAGGCATAGGGAGATAATGCAGTCAGAATGACCAGTTGGCAGATTTTCGAATTTAGAAGCAATAGAGTTTTTAATCATGAAGCCAACTCCTGAAAGATGCCTTTTGTTTCTGGGTTTACCTGACCAAAAGAGTGTGTAACCGGCACCCTGTTCTCTAAGGCTGCCTTCCTCGTGAAGGCGAACTTCACTGAGAGCAGCAATGAGACATGATAGTTCGTGGGCAATCAGGGCAGAGCAACGCTCAGGACGTCTGCTATCTGCAGTATCTAGCATGGTTCTGATGTTCCAGAACATCAGAGTCAATTTGGGTACACCTTTGAAGGCAGGTGCATGCCTTTGTCTCTTGATCTTTGTGTGACCGCATTGGAGGAAGATGCCCGTTGGCCTGCGGTTAACCAACCGGGTGAAGGGTGGAGATGAGCTTTGGTTAGGCCACCTTTTCTAGGCCCCTCTCTGAGTGGAGCAAGCAGTGCTCTCCTTGAAAAAGGCTGCTTGGTCATTCAGGATGTTGCCACAAGAGACTGTCATCTCCAGGGTCAGTCTCAGGTGACCAAAGTCCTGAACCGCCTGCACGCAGGGTTGGGTCTGCGGCTTCCAGTGCACCTTTCACCTGCTGTTTCGACCCTCGCCCGTCGCTACAGGGCTTTACAAATGCGGGTATAACCTTCGAGCCTGCGCAATGGATTTTTTTTAGGTGAGATGCAGTATGCGCAGAACTGGACCCACCCTTTAATCCTGAGGTTCATCCGCCAGGGCCTAGCGAGCTTGGATGGTGGCAGTGAGGGCCTCAGAACATAGGTTAATTAGAGTGACCTCTTGGATGGATGGCCTTACAGGGCTAAGCGAGCTCCATCTGCCTGGGTTTGGAATTAGAGTTGTCCTTCTAGGTGACTGCCAGAAGGCTAGTGAGCCCATCCTGCCCATGGACATATTTTATCTGACCCTTCGTTTTTGACCTGTCTGGCATGGGAGGCCCTGCTGAAGGCACATACCGTCACCAGTATAGCTCGCAACCTCATAGGGGTACACAGGCTTCCTTCCCACTAAAACAGTTAGGGCAAGCCTTTCACTCCGTACTTTTCTGCCACCCATCTATACTCAATCCCAGGGAAATACCCAGGAACATCCCTTTGTCCTGACCACCCTTTCAGGACGCAATAAATAATTCCAAAAAAACCAAACCTGAGCAGTAGCTGCAGGAGAGCCAAAAACAAACCGTTCTGGCCCCCGCACCCACCCAGGGCTCGGGTGGGCCATGGGGGTCCTCAGACTGGCAGGAGGGCAGGCGGGGCAGTCCTGTTGGAGTGTCACAGGTGAGCAGTGCGAGGGAGGATCTGTGGTAACATGGTGGGGGGAGGATAAGGTCAGGGTGGATAGTGGGTTCTTCTGGGAGGTTTTTGGCCAGGCTGGGGCCATGGGAGGTAGCAGGAAATTATCTCATGGAAAATTGACTATTTTCCCTTCAGGTTGGTGAACTGAACTGACTTGGTGACTGGAGGAGGGTGGCCATAGATTAGACGTAAAAGAAAACTATCCCATCTGTGCAGCAAACTGCTTATGATTTACAAAATCTGGCATTAGGGGTGATGGGAGCACAGAAAGAACCAGCTACTTGAAGCTCATTCCAGAGAAAAAGGTCAGTACAGGAAACAGAAGACTACTGCCTTTCCTTTTGGCAAGGATTTTATTATTTGGATAGAAAAGAGAAAGGCTTTGCCATACAGTGCAATGGGGAGGGGGAGATATTGAACAGAGCCCTTAACTACCCATAACGAGGTGGTTAAAAACTTTCCCTTCAAAACCAAAGTAAGTAAAAGCCATGCTTAACTTGAGGAAAGTTGTTATAGGCTGTGCCCTACCAGAGGGGAAATCTATCCCAGGACCAGAGTTGGATACTTGGGCTTCCATCAGAGAAACAGTGTGACGCTGTAGGAAGGACTGAGTGCTCACATTGTCTTTTCCACTCACATGGCTTACAGTATGTGTGTCGATCAGCATCAGCCAAACAGGGCAGCAAAGCTGGCTCTGTGTGTGAGCCCCGAGTGCAGGGGAGAGATGTCTGTGTCCAACAAGTGTAAGAGGCAACTATGGGAAATGTCAGTATTCACAGGAAAATCATCTCCAAGCGAAGATGCTGCAGGCCTGAATGGTTGCTGTATCGGGCATGGCCATAAGAGGGAAGTGTGTGCTCAGGCATTAGGTGCTTTCTCTGGGCTGGAGCAACCCCAGCTGTGTTGGCTGTGGGCTCTGCAAGCAGCATGGACTCTGCCTGGGTCCCACCTCTTCTCAGGACTAAAAGCAGGAGTAGTCCCTCTAGAGGCACCTGAGCTCAGCCACAGCCAGGTGTGCAGGTAGTGGGGATGGGGATGAGGTGAGAGGGAAGCAAGAGTGGGAAAGCAAATTGTCACTTTCTGGAGATAGGGGAGACTGAGATATGCAACCCTGATGTGCTTTTAGGAGGGGTAGGGGACCTCGAGAGAAAGAGCTGAAGTCAACAGGGTGGGCTTGAAAGGTTTACAAAGAGGAACATGGATCCAAGAGGATATGGACAGGCATCCCTGCTAGATCTCTAAAGGAGACATTTTGCCTGAAGCATTTCTAATAGCATTTTGTAGGCCACATGCATAGAGCATGCAAGCTATATAGCAGTAACAAGTGGGCCTTGCCTTGTTAAAACTCACCACAGCACAAGGTAGAAAAGGACACTTGCACCATGCAGTATGGGAACTTGAGGCTTCACCAAGTCTATGCCTGCTGGCTTCCATGGGTCCTGTTAGCTGGAACTGTCATTTTTGAATGGCTGAGGAGTTTCAACTTGCCACCTGGCTGAGGGCAGATCTGTGCCCACCCTAGTAACTACCCAAGCTCTAATCATACCAGCACCTTCTGGAAATGCTGAGGGAACCTGTAGTGACAGTGGTAGACTGGGAGAGGTCCTTAGGCTGTTTCTGGTGGTGTAAGTGGGAGCTGAGCTTCATCTTTTGACATGGGATGATACTTAGCTGTTGTGTAGCAGAGGAGTGAGGGACTCTGCTCATGCCTTCTATCAACCATGCTCCTGGTATGCTACAAAATCAATCACTACTGTTCTGGACTCTGTTTCCCTGCTATCACTGAGGGACTGAGCACTCCTGCAGGGACCCACAGGGTACTTTGAGGAGAAACTGAATTGACATTGATTTCCTATAGTTTCCTGCCAAGAAATGTGAGCAGCAGGGTCCAGTCAGGAGCACCAAATGACCTGACCACCAGCTTCCCATGAGTTGGCTCTGCAGAGAGGCACCCAGGCTTCTCAAAGATATTTTTTTCCTCAGAGGCAGAAACAGAGGAAAATGAATGAGACAGAGCTGAATTTATTCCTTATTCATGCCACAGTATGAAAACAAAATGCATCTAAGAATAAACTGTACAAGAGCTGTAGGCAGGTGTGGTGGCAAGGCTGGGGAGACAGGGTAGATGTGTCTTTTGGTGGCTGGCTGAGCATGTGTTGATCTTGTGCTCCCAAAGCATCTTATGCCTGTGCAGCAGAGGGAACTATAGTTGTAGCAGCAGGGACTGTAAGCCTGGCTGGTTATCTAGAGGCATAGGTGATATTAGTGGGAGAGAGCTGAAGGAATGTGTATTGCTCAGCACATACATGTTGGGCATCATCTATGGGCAATGGTGTTGCCCAGCAGGGAATGTGCTCTGTGTGTGTGGGCCATGGGAAGGGGTTGCTGTACAGGAATGGCTGCATATAACCACAGGAGGTTACTTTGCAGTTCAATGAGGCGAAGAATTGCCATGGCGACCACGCTCCTCTCCCTGATAGATGCCAGGCTTCAAGGCAATAATATCTGTGTGTTGCTCTAATAGCCCCAAACGCCTTCTCCCTCTTTTGAGAATGGGTGAGGACCATGCTGCCCTGTCTCCAGGCTGGGAGAGTGGTATCCAGTGGGATATAGAGTGGTTTCTGCACACTCCATCTTTCACTAGAAGGGGGCTGCCATCTGGGTACCTCCTACACTGGTGGCTGCTGCAGTGCAAAGACAGAAGGGCTGTGGTTTGAATTATTATGACACAGTACAGTTCTTGCACTATACGTCCACTTAGTGTGCTCAGGACCAGCAAAGTCTGAGCCAGTTGCCAGTCCTTAGGTACGAACTGCTTGTGTGCAGAGGGCTGTGTGTTGGAAGACCTTGCACCTGCTGCAAGAGAGGTGTTCTAGGGAGCATTACTGTGAACAATCCCAACCCTAGAGCTGGTGAGCTTGGAACTCACCAGCAGTACATACTGCAAGACTCCAAGGACAGACAGAAGGCAAATGTGCACCAGAACATAAAGTCTTCTTGCACCTGGTGTATTCACACTTGCTGTTAGAGCCCACATGGAATATGTTCTCTGTTCTTACTCAGTATCAGGTCATGCCCTGTGCTTCTTCTGGTCATGCCCATGCCCTTCTGGCAGAGAAAGTACAGCTGCATCTCTCAGGTTCCACAGGAGCTAAGGTGTGTTCCTCAGAGACCTCTGTCTTTCATCTTCAGTGACCTTATTCTGTTCTTTCATCAACTCTGTAGTGCTCAGGGGTCTGTGAAGCCATATCAATTGTATCTCTCCTGTGTTCTCAGTTACAGGTTTGGGGAGATGGTTGTTTTGTGATCTGTGGGGAAAACTGGGAGGAGGAAAGGCTTTAAGGCCTAAAAATGTTTAGAAATGCTTGGTTTGGGGAGGAACACTGATGCATCCTGTACAGACTCATAAGCAAAAGCCAGAAAGAACAAACCAAATAGATGGTCATGCTGGTCCTGTAGGCTGAAGGTCCAGAGAGGTGCTGTAGACCAGCAGGTAGGTCATCATGTCACTTCTGCTGCACTGGAACATTGTAGACATGCAGAACACAGCTCGAGGCAAAGGTCCAGTGTTTCTCCTCACCAGTGTACCCATTGCAACATCTTCCCTTGTGTACTCATCTTTTCTCTTGAAGGATTTTTTTGTTTAAATCACAGAAAAGCATTCTAGACACTGACAAACAAGTATTGTCATCTTGCAGAGGGCTAGCAAAAGAACAAATAGCTGCACTTCAGTGGAGGTGAAGCAATCTCTCCACTCAGCATGGACTTGCTAATTTGCATGGTCATGAGGTCTCACTGGAAAGATATTTTTAAATGAAAAAGCAAGGAAATGATGCAAAATAGATTTGAGTATATTCCAGGAGATAGTTAAATTTTTCATAGTGAAAACCAGTAATAGATCAGGCTGTGTGCTATGAACTTCTCATCACAAAAATATTTCACATGAGGCTTCTTCTGTCTATTCTGGGCTGAGCACTGACCTTGCATATTAGATCTTAATTAAGCATGTATATGACTAATGTTTCTCTCTCTTCTACTTTGCTGCTGCAGAAAATAATATTCACAGAATCAAACACAGAGTACCTGCACAGTCACTCTCCAGATGGGACCCATGGTTTCTCAGTAGGTTCTGTGTCACATGAAAAAAACAGCATTTCTTGTGTGAAATTCAGAGAAAGGAAGTGTTAAATGTCTGTGAAGCCAGGGATTGCAGCCTTCAGCATTGAGTCCCTCTGCTGTTCCCAAACAGTGTGCAGTGATGCTTGCAGCTACAGAGAGGGTTGAGTAGGCCACAGGGATCAGAAAGAACATGCCATATCTTTACTTCTTTATGCTTGCTCATCGGGGATCCTTCTTTCCTCTAGTTGTTTCCTTATCATTTTGACCTAGGAGAAGGGACAAAGCACTAGTGAATTTGACAGTGGTAGTAATAAGACTATATAAGACTTGCTTTTGTGCTTAAGACTCCTGTGCAAGCCAGGAGATGTCTGCAGACTGGTTCCACTTTCAGATCAGGTAAATGCTGAACCATCAAAACAGCGTGCCAAACTCACATCTCTCCTGGATAATTACAGTGTTGGGTCAGGAAGGGTTTGGAGATGATCATATCCCTACACTCATAATTGACAGGTCAGGTCTGGGGACTACAGACCAGTGAGCCTCACCTTTGTGCCTGGGAAGATCACAGAGCAGATCCTCCTAGAAGATATGCTAAAGCACACACTATGTCAGGAGCAAAAGAGCTGCCAGTTTGTCACCAGCATTGTCATGAGGATTTGATGGAGCAATGTCATTGTGCAGAAGACAGGTCTACAAAGTGGAACAAAAGCCTTGCTTTAAAAGGACCTGAGGCTTACTTGTGTGCAGCATTCATCAGGGTTTAGAATGGCTGCAGATTATTTGCAGTAGTGTGACTAAAATCTTCCTGACCTGTCATAGACACCTGACAATCAGCACTTCTGCAAAGTCAGGTTTCATCACAGCAATGAGAACAAGCTGACAAACTCAAAACCAGTCATCACAAGATTGGTGCAGTTCTCTGACAGTCTTTCCAGGTGCTGGTTATATTTGACAAAAGGTCAGGCTAACATCTGACTCTAATCTTAGAGGAATGCAGTCTGAAAAGCCAAGGGGGAAAAGGCCAGTGAAAATGAAAGTGTGCTGACTGCAGTGGCAGAAAGCGGTACCTAAGCTATCTCAGCCACTGGAACAAGGTAAGACAATGCCAAATCAGTTCTGTCTGTTCTAGAAATTATGGGACATGCTACTCCACACCTGGTAGTGAGAGTGTGTTAGATTTTGGTGCTTGTTCCATATTCAGTGTATGTTTGTTCCTATTTCTCTGTGTGCCTAGGCTGTGAGCAGTGATTGACACTTTTTCTTTGTCCTTGGAAGAAACTACTTCCAAACATTTTTTTGTTACCACTTCTGCTAAAAATGTCTTGATGCTCCACTCAGGTTTACTTTTTTCAGCTCCATTCCATGATTCTTAATTCCACAATCTCAAAATTTGTCTAAGAAGCCATCCCATTATGAACCAGCGAGTCTTTCCAAAATTTAAATTCTGTCTGGAAACAAAGCTAACTCCAAAGCTTCAACAACACCTCTACCTGGACTGATTGTTTTAAGCAAGAACAGTGCTTTGAAAGATGAGTCTCCTTTCTAGGCTGTGTGCTCTCCTTTGGCTCCTCCATCATTTAAAAATCAATATCTGTCTCTGATCACACCCCCTCCTCGCCAGACTCTGCTCTTTGCTACCTCAATTTGGTTTTAATTTGCCACAGCAAAATTGCAGTCATTTTTCCCCCATCCTAATTAAGAAACCTATCTGTTAAGGAGAAAGAAAACAAAAACAAAACCTTCTTATCTAAGCTCTTAGCACAGAAGAGAGAAGGAATGATTGGTGAGATGATCACCTCTAGAAAGCCAAGGCCTTTATTGATTCTTCTGGCCTTCCTCAGTAAATACAGAATGAGTTTTAAATTCACTTAGAAGGAAGCTAAAAGTTAGTGTAAAGTACTGATTTCCCAACATCAGAGAAGAAAGAGGCTGTATGTCTTCTAGGCTGACTCACTTTTTTTTCTCTATACATAGTTCAATAAGAATATTTGGAGAGTGGTTCATTGTGCCTCATAGGTTCATAGAATCATTTAGGTTGGAAAATACCTCTAAGATTATCGAGTCCAAGCATAAACCTAACACCTAACCCTAAGCCTTGGCTGTGGTGGACATGTCCCTAAGCACCACTTCTACACATAAGTGTGAATGCCACCTCCCATACCTCTATTTCAGTTTCCCCACATTTTGGTATAAATTGGCCTTGCTTCTCACCTTCTGGGGGGGTATTGGTGCTGACCTACCTTTTGGAAGAGCTTTGAGATCATGAAACAGATTAGGAAAGCTGTGTTGTGGGCAGGTGGCAGCAGCATTGAGCACTTGAATTAGGGAAAAAAGCATTGAGTGATGGTGAAGGAGGGCACAACCTCAGTGCTAAGATGTGTGATTACAGGCACAAAAAGGTGAGGCCCACATAGAGAAGCTCAGGGGAGAGCCCACTACACATGGAGATTTTGTGGAAGAGGACATTCAGCAGCCCTATAGGAAAAGGTCAGAGACAGAATAGTCCCTACTGACTTGGCAAAAAACAAGATGGGAATTGTCTGCACAAGCCTAAAGCTTTTGCTGTGCAGGGGAATAAACATCTCTATTCTGCAGAGAGGGAAAGCTACTACAAGCTTTTTCAGACTTTATCCCCTCCCTCCTTCATCCGTGATGTAGTGGAAGTGTTACCTCCCATAATGCTTATCTGAATACAAGCCCTACCTTCCAATAAAAACCAGGTCTGGCTCCTTGCTGTACTCCAGAGACTTATTTGCCGCCTTGGAGAGATAAGCATTTAGCTGATTAAGTTCAGTCTCTGTGCATGGACTAAGAGGGGTCATAAAATAGCAGGAACCAGATGGGGATCATGCCTGCTGGACTAAAACTACTCTGATATTCCAGATTTTTCCTCTCTTCACTGGGACCTCAAGAGCAGAACCCTTCAGAGCAGGACCTGCTATAAAAGTCCAGACAAGCTTGCATTAAGAGCAAGGAAGTAGCCTTTTGAGACTGACCTCCTAAAGGAATAAGGCATATGTTCTCATGGTTTGTGCATGTGTTAAGCTCAGTGTGTCCTCACATTCCTGCCCAGTAACTTTGAAACCTGTTGGTCTATTTCAATTAGACTTGATAGATTTCACAGCTAATTAAATAGCAGGTAGTAGGCAGCCTGTTAGAGGAGAGGGACCCTATAAGTATCCTGATTCAGGAAAAGGGTGGGCTGCGCATGTATTAAACTCTGGGGAGATCACATGGAAAAAAATTACTTTTAAATACTCAGCTGGAAGAAAAGTTTCAGTGAGACCTGAATTTTTCAGGAACATAAATCCACAGGGAACCATGGTACATTCATTCTGCACCTCACAAAACTACTATTTTTCTTTTATTGTATGTAGATGGGAGGAAAAAATATTTAATTTAGGAAACACTGTAAAAAAATCCCACAGCACAGGATCCAGTAGATCTAGTATCTAGCAGATTTAGGAACTAGGATACTCAGTAGGATGGTCAATTTGTTGTTGGCATCCTGGTTGTAACAGAAACCAGCACTAGCAGAGAAGAGCAGTGCAGCACCTGAAATCAGAAAAGGTTCTGAAAAGGGCTGAGTGAGGAAAGTCAGGGGCCCAGGGTTATCTGTGGGGAAATATTGTGGGTCCCAGGGTCCTTCCATGAGGCTCAGAAGAGACTAAAGGGGGATGGCTCTAACTGTAGACTTCAATTATTTCTAAGAGAGTTACAAAGACAGTGGAAGCAAACTCTTGGCAGCAACAGATGGTCAGAAAAATGCAGAGGGAATGGATACAAGTTGTATTTTGGGTAACTCAGCCAGGACATAAGGCAAAATTTCTTAGTAAGGTGAGTATGGCAGCACTGGGTGCAAATTACTGAAAGAAATGGTAGAGTCTCCATCATGGAAGGTTTCTAAGTCTCCTGTGGGCAACAGCACTATTCCTAGTGGTAGGTTGGACTAGACACCTCCAGGGGTCCCCTCAACCACTATTTCTGTGGTCCTTTGACAACTGATACCAGATGATGATGCAAGGAAACAGCTTGTATGAGCAAAGCTGTCACTTACACGGTGGCAACTTTTATGTCACCTAAATTTTACCAGAGGACACATGAACATAGTCATTGTTGATTCCTTGTATAGAAAAAAATGGGTTTATTAAGGTATTTGTGATTATTATTTGCTGAATATAAATAGTGGAACTTATTTTGTACTGTGCTAAACTTGCGTCAGTCACATCTTGTACCTCTTGTACCAGATCTATAGAATTATAATACACAATATTTTCAACCAACTTTGGTTATTAGGATTTACAGAGACATCAGCAGACTGGATGACAGTCACTGGTTTTCTCTAAGTCTCTTCTTGCATAGAGATTATAAAAAAAAAAAAGGCCCTTTTTATATGGGTCTTTTGAAGCCTCCAGCAACTTATTTTTCTGGATCGTTAATGTGTTTCTGTTAACTTTTTGAGGTAATGTGTTCAGACTCAGGCAAATTTTACGATTTCATCAGAACTAAAGTATGCTTAGAGCACACTGAATTATAGCTCAATTAATTTTGCATTCTAATTAAGTGGAAGACAGTCTTGTCACTGACAAGTCTCTTTTCTGTGCTAAATCTATCCTGTTTCAGGTGTGATGCAGAGAATGAGAATAACTTATATAAACAGATGAAAACAGATCTGAGCTCTTGTCTGCACTGCATAAGATACTAGCCAGCTTCAGCCTGGATCTGTAGCCATGGCAGTGCAATACTGTGCCACTGTCTGGGTAGTCCCTACCTACCAGCTTCTTTCCTGAGCCACTCACTGCTCTCTGCCTACTAGCTCAGCAGAGGAGCACACAGCATAAATAGAGGGGCTTAGGTGCACCTTACTACAATCTGTAGAAATATCTGCTGAGGAACAGTGAGGAAAAAAGGTCAACAAGCTCTCAAAGAAGGGAAAAATAGCTAAGATCAGAATCATTCCAGCAGCAGGCACAGCTTTAGGGATTGCCTTGCCCATAAGTTACTGCCTGGTGGGCATGCAGAGTAGATCTTGTCTCAAGCACTAGCCAGCAGTCCAGTTTGTAACACTGAACTTGTCTTGCACAGTACTCTGAAGAGGTCTGAAAATTTTAAGTTTGTACCAGCAGTTTCCTTGTCTGCTTCCAGTGTCCTCTGATTCTGACTTAACTGGAGATTTTATTTTCCCTTATTCTTGGTTATAATAAAAAAGCAGTAATTGTTTAAACTCTGTTGAGCAGCCAGCCTTAGCTATAGATCATACAAAGAATGTGATGTGTACATGTGATAAACAATGTGCTTCAATTCCAGGTGGCTTCGAAATAAACACATGATTATCTTCCTGTAATCCACTTATTACATAAATTTTCTTGCAGAATTGGTCCAATGTCCTCTTCTTCCCCCCCCTTCCCTCAGAGGAATTAAAAACTACAGAGATTATCTCAGCATGCACCTATAGGAACACAAGCAATTATTTGTAGTACCTATAGATAAAAAAATTTGATCAGTGCTATGAAAAAATCCTGTTATGTCATCACAAACCTAAGCAAATATGGTGCAATGTCAGAGTGTGAAAGCTGTGTGGAGTATATGTGTGGTTCCTGAGTATATCACTGGATGCAGCCCTACTACCTGCCTTCTTTCCAGGACCGCTACTGCCTCTTTGAAATTCTGGAAGCACAGTTTACAGAGCCCACAGAAGTCCTGTGGTTTGCTCATTTGTACTCCACTCTGCTGTAGTCACAGAATCAATGATCCTGCTGGGCTGGCAGTTCAGGAAATTCTTTCTTCTTATTATTGTGTCTCTTTGTACATGGATGCCTTTTTTATTTTCTGGGTCATTTCCCGCATGCCCATTTCTGGGTCATGGACTTTTCTTTTTCTAGGTGTCTGATACAGAATGAGATCAGAGCTGTCTCTCTCACACTGGCATTAGGTAACAAGCTTGACTGCAAGTCAGTAACTCAGCAAATTCTCGACTCAGTCACATCTAAACATAAGGCTTCAATGGACTGGATACTTCTCACAAACAAATGCCATTAGTAGTTTCCAGCATTTACTACAATTTTAAACTGCAGAGGATAAACAGTATGGTTTCTTGTCCTCAAGTCACAGGAACAACTGAACCCTGGAATAAATGATTGCTTGTCGTATGTTAGATATTTGTAGGGAACAGAAGACATAAGGAATGAGAACCATGGACTTAAGACCTCAGCCTGTGACATGAAGAAACCAGCTCCAATTCACCACCACCTGGTTCCATGACTCTGCCTTCTCTCATCTTCAGAGATGAGTTGGATGACTTTTGCTCCCTGCTCAAGAGTGAAGAACACACAGTCTGTCTTCTCACTGTCAGGAAAACAGATATTCCTCTCCCCTTCCCCACCTTCAGGTGCCACTAAGAGAACTTCACTGTTTTCTGAGCCTGACTCAGTCAGCTTTCCTTTCTGGTCATGTTGTAAACCTCTCTGCATAATACATTCACTGTCCTAGGGCTGAGCTGTAAATACACCAGGCCTAGGATACAGAAAGGACACACGTCTAACATAGAATAAGATACTGAAACCCACATCTGATTATTTTAGACTTTAAATTACTGGAGCTCTTTGCAGTATTTTATAAGGAATTAATAGCACACGAACACACATTCACCTGCTATGAAATAAGAAGACCAGACACTTTACCCATGAGGAAAGAACTGCCACATATGTACTAAATTGGACTTTGATACTGCAGGCAACACCTCTCTGCAACTGCCCAGCAAACCCTGAGCTGCCCATAAGCAGAGAAGCCCTGCAGACATACACAGGGCTCCTCTGCCAGAGCTGGCAGATGGCAGAGGCAGTAGATCCAAAAGAAGCCTGGAGGGAACTACACAAGGGATGCAGCAGCATTAACAATACGCTGAAATAACTAACAGGGAGAAAAAGGAAGAAAATAGCCCAAAACTGATAAGAGATCTTTAATTTAAAAACTAACTAAGTTTATTCATTGGGAAAGTGCAACAAAATACCCCAGGGATAGTGCATTCCACTCCAGCAATTAAAATTGCATTAAAAAGCAGATAGGAAAGTCTGAGTCTTAAAAAGAACTGGCACAAAAGCTGGTGCTTTTCTTTGTTTCAATATATTTATCTTCGGGTGACAGAGATAGTCACTGATTAATTTTTTAGGTACTTAATTTACAACTTCATTGCTTCTATTTGCAAGTCATTCTGTTCCTTAAAGATGCTAGCTTGGGACTGGGAACCATAATCCACAGGCACTCAAGGGGGGGGCAGTTTTGAAAGAATAGAGACGTTGGGCTCAGTCACATACTTTCTGTTGGGAGGAGATCCAGCTGGGAGCTACTAGATATTCTAAGTAGATATTGCCCCCAGTTGTTTCTCTCTAAAATCTGAGATATGAAAAAATGTCCAGTACCACTCATAAAAGCAGATTCTGCTGCAGCTGAGAGGGTGCAAGAGGAAAAAGGAGAGCACAGGACTACAGCACGCTTATAGCAGGTGTCGTTTGAGGGAGCTGCCAGTTTCTGACCACTGAACCAATTTTTGTTGTAGAGGTAATTCTCTTCAAAATGCTGCAGGTAAGTCTCATAGCAGCCTATCCTCATTTATATTTGCTACTGCACTTCAGCTGAGCTTTACAAGCCAAACAAGATTCTTTAATGCATAGCAAATATGTATCTTTTGCTGATGCTGCCTGCCTAATGATTTCAAAATACTTAAAGAGCATCACTCACAAAGCTTAAACTAAGCTTAACCAAGTGCTTAAACCATACAGATATTTTAAAGGGAACAGAGTAAACATCTGCAACAAAATGGCAATAGAGTTCATCTCCTGAGTCTCAGTCCTGAACTTAACCCTTCTTTTCATTTTAAATTCTTTTTCTCCCTCCACCTATTTCTTACAGCAAGCAGGACTACATTTATTCTGCACAAGTTTATTATCCCAATACAGACAAGTGACTTGCAGTATTACATTAGTCCTAATTCCATATGGAGGTTGCCTGTCCCGTCCATGCCAGCACAATCTCCTGGTCTCAGCTGACTGTATTTGGTTTATGTCTCTTGCCTCTGCTGTTCTCCTCATGGTGACTGTCTTCAGAGGGTGCTTGGCCCTTTCCATTTGTGTCAGAATCCTCTGGAAATTTCTGACCCTCAGCCAACACCTGCCGAATAGTCATATTAATGCGGGAAGACTGCAGGTACTTGGCACACACCTGCCAGTCCTCATCAGAGCTGTGTTCAATGACTGAGCCAACAGGAAGGTCTGAAGGAAGTGCTTGGTCGAGGCAGGAAGGCACGGCTGTCCCCTCAGGGTTGGGGAGCACGCGAGGGACAGCGTGGTACAGCAGGCGGCTCAAGCCAGACATCACCATGATATCTCCACTGTGCATGAACATCGCCGTTGGGGCCTCCTCCCGCTTACGGCCCCCAAGCAAAAATATTGAGGATTGCCCAAAACTAGAGATGGTATAAGGATGGAGAGAGAAGAGAAAACAAATTCAGGTAGAGAACAACTATCTGTACAATAAGAAAATATCAGTAGCTAAATCCCTTTATAAAAACTCCATGCAATCATGAAAACCAGATGGGCTCCTAGTAACAACTTTACAATTAGAAAATGAAAAACAGACTAAGAGGCCTGGTTCAAGATAGGCACTGTGTGAGCAGTTGTCCTGCCAGTGTGAAGCTCTGCTGAGTTATTTCATCCTTGCCTGTTAGTACCAATTGACACTCTGCTGCTTTAGAGCAGAACAGTGCTCTGTGCAAAGAGTTCTTCCACTCCAGGTGCTACATCCATGCTATTCAAGCAGTCCTCAAAGAAAAACCTAAGTCCTTGAACTACAGTCTTCTGCTATTCAAATCTTCAGAGAGTGAAGATTATATACCCAATTAGCAAAGTACATCATACTGGCTTCCTATAATCATATGCAACTCTAGAAAATAGCCACTAACCTTTCCACAACGCTCAAGTGCTTTCCTTGACTTACCTGAACGATAAAAGGGGCCGAGAATGGTCTAGTTCAGACTCATCCACATGAATTCCCAGAGAAGAGTCAAAATGATAGTAGTTCAAGATCCCTGCTTGGGCTTGGAAACCCCTGAAACCACAGGCTGCAGCCACTTGTTCTGACAGGAATGCAAGGTCTGAGGGGAAAGGAGTGTGGTGATTTGCTGAGTACTTCTGGAAGAAGGAGAGCAAGGGAAAAAAAAAAACAAACAAAGCCACACCCAACACATCAGAGCAGCAAATACAATTGGAAACAAACATTGAACAAGAACTCAAAAGTCTGGCTGAAAGTCACAGAGAAGGACATAAAGTTTGCCTAGAAAATGACTACAACACAGGCACAACTACAGCAAGTTTACCTCTTATCATTAAATTCTTGGCCTATGCTGAGACTGCCAGAGATTCAATTAATCATGGAGTTAATCATTTTATCTAGATGCTAAACTTGAAGTCAGTAAGATTAGTACCAACATCCTGAGGATCTTCTCAGTCACAACCTAAAGCTGCCAACAGAAAGACAGTTCTGTAGCTCATCAAGAGAGCTACAAAACAAGCATCTTTGTCTCTTTTTGAAGAATAAGAAACAGGAGTCGATTGCAAAACTACTTTTTCTCTCTCCCATGAGTGATTCTGAGAGGACTGGAAGAGAATACCCATACTTTTATTAAGGCCATCCAATAAACAGGTTGATCTGGTAAATAAAAGGCTGCAAGCAGATTTGGTTACCTTCAATATACTGATAAGATGCATATCCACTCTGCCAGTCTTTCTCAGCCTCCATCTAACTCAGTCTTACGAAAACAATTTTATTTTCATCAGGAGCCTCAAAACAGCTGTTAGTTGGTAAGACTGGTTCAGAATCATTTAAGTTCAAAATCACAGGAGCAGCCATCTCTTCTTGCTCCTGTTCATCCCTTCAAAGAGGAGTAGTTTCTCAGAAGTATTCTGACCTTAAATAGTTAATAATGCTTTTGTGATCATCCCTTTTGGTACGATAAAAATGCTCACTTACCCTGACATAAGAGGTAAGGTCTAGAGCTGAGTGTATGCTATAACAATAACTCTCAAAGGAAAGAATGCAGCAATGGATTTGTGCTGTTAAATCCTTCACAGTGAACTAATACAGATTAAAATGTTCTAAAAAGCATAGTTTGTTACAGCCTTTCCTCAAGACTGTCTTGTAGAATCATACGTGTTTTATTTGATGATGTCCTCCTCTGTTTGCCATTTTGAGTGCTTACAGCTAACAAAAATGGAGAAGAATTTCATTCCAATACCTTAGTATCCCAGTTATAATGGTAACCAAGGGTCACCCAGCGCAGCTTCTCCAATAAGCTTCTGGGCTCCCGTTTACTGGAACCTTTCCTTCTACAAAGACAAAATGGAAAGAAAGAGAACATGTGTTAATTTCTGAGGGCTCTTCTGGTAGTGCAGCATACAGTAATGAGATTCACTCATCCATATGACAGCCTATTAAAACCAATGCATGCTAAACTTTTATTTTCAGTGCCCATACTGTTTTCCTCTGAAGACCTTGAAAATTTAGTTCATTCAATCTGTGCAAGCTATGGGGCCTGCTGCCAACTGCTGTCAGTTTGAAAGCTGGTGTTTTCAACATGGTACCTAACAGGTTATCAGATGGAGACAACACAATGAACTGGTGCAGATTTAGAAGTCAGAATTAAACATGTACTATTTGAGCACCTGAAACTGAAAGACCAGAATCTGAAGATCTGAAAGCTGCAAATGCAATGAAAAAATATTCTAGGCACTTAATAGAAAATTACAAGAAAGGAAAATTATTTGCCTCACAGTGAAGCATAGCATGCTGCCTAATACTGCAAAGGACAGTTAGTTCTACTACTTGGAACTTTGACAAGAAGTCCTTAGGATGGTCTGACTCAATGTTCAGTAAGAAGCAAGACTGCTCCAGCTATGACCATACACTTGTAACATCAAGAAGTCTAGACTGCAGGTGTCCCCTATCTGCTATGCAGGACAAAGAACTGTTCTTCTTAAGTGACAACCCTAAAGCTCTGATGCCACACACCAATTTACCATTCTTACTTGAAGGTAGCAAAGGCAGGACAAGACTTCAGGGAGGGACTTTTAGTATGGCCTATGGAAATGTTCTTGAAAAGTTACAGAGTATAAGTAAGTAAATTAGTGACAAATAGGAAAAGGAAGGTACACAAATATCTTCTAGTGCACTCATTCCAGTAATTTCAGCTTATTTTCTCAAGCCAAGTCACGTGTTACAGTAAAAAAAAAAAAAAAAAACAACACAAAGAAAAAAATATACTCAGAAGATCCCAATAAACGGTAGCACCAGACAGCTGGCTCTCATTTATAGCCTCTTTAGTTCAGCAGGACATGCTCTCTTTTACAAAACTTCATATTTGTGCTGCCATGGTCAAGTCTCAGTCAAGCATCTGCATTTGATGTGTTTTTCTACCTGGATATGCAGCTTGTTTCTGCCCTTCAACTATACCATACTGATAGCTCCTAAGATAAACCAGGAACAGGAGTAAAAGGCCAGTTTCTTTGCCTTTAGTCTCACTGATTATTGAACGAAAGTAGTCTTTCCAGTTTCTATCTTTGTCGTAGCTAACGGCAACACAGTAACTGCCACGTACATTCTGCTTGGAACAATTTCTGGAGCCTACAAGCAGGTAACACAGCATTCAGAAAAAACAGAGCTCACAACTTGTTCCTGAACATCTTCAATTAATAGATAATGTTCATAATTGAACACTTTTAGCAAATGCCTTTTGAAAGTGCCCTTCTTTCACTACAGTGCTAGAGCGTTTGCACAACAGTGGGAACACCAAAATGCTCTGGAGGTCCTTAGTCCCAGAACTTGGTATTTTGCATGCAATTTCTAAGAAAAAGTCTTAGTGTCATGTATCTGGAAACAGTTGAGTTCCTAGATCTGAGCAGCAGGTGCTCCTAACAAGAAAGCACAGGGAAATTCTGGTATAACTATGTTAGAACAGGACTGAACAGCATGGGGTCTTTGGTCCAAAGCTCCCTTGTTTCTTTATTCACTGGTAAACGATAGCATCTGTAAAACTCTGCTAGCCTTTTCCTTACACACAGGAACATAAATACATACATACATATATATGTATATCCCTTGTAGGGATTCTCTGCCCCCTTTTATGCTTTTAATTGTCCCCAGCACTACAGAAAATACTAAAGCTCCATTTTGTGAGGCAAGCATGGTGTATATATATGTCTAGGAACCGTATCGACTCTTCCTATTTTGTGATTCCTGCATCCTGAAAAAAGCAAATAAGCCATGATCCAAGCACATTTATGCATCTTCCTGATGGCTTTAAAAAGCATTAAAGTTGTGACTCATCTTGGAAATGGACGTCTTTTTAGTTAAGCACTGTTCCTCCCCTCCCTGAAAGACTCTCGCTCCAGATACCAGAGAAGTTGGCTACTTTGATCTGCTGCCCCTGGGTATAAGCACAAATACAGCAGTTTGCTCACTTGAAGACTCAGGCAAGTGCTTAATAAAACTGCCAGTGTTTCTGCCAGCCATCACTCTTCTAAACACTGTTTTCAACTGAACTGGATTCAGCTGCAAATTAACCTCTGTTCTGATCATTCTCTTCATGCAGGAGGTGCTGCTGGGAGAGGCCTGTCAAGCTGGAACAACACCCTGCTTTTTTCAGCTATTGGGCACAATGCACAATCCTTTCAAAGAACAATTTTTCATCCTTGATGGAACACAAAAAAGGCGTCTGAATTTCTGTAACTAATTCTAACTGAGCCTGGAAAACACAAGTGAGGGCATAACTTCTCTCCTAGGAGCAAATAGTTAGATGTCCAAATCTTGATTTTGCCATTCCATGTCTTGTAGATATTAAGAGTATTTTTAAAGAAAACTCTCAGCATGTCAATCTCGCTAAAAAAACTGGGGTGGAAGATGAGCATTGTAGGTAACTTTGGCTGCACCATCACATGAAACAATCGTTAGGGAAAATGAGCAGTGAAATCAATAAAGTAATGATAAACGAGCAGTGAAATCAATAAAGTAATGATAAATACCCAAATAGGTAAAAGTTAGATGCCGTTTACAGTACACAATCTTGTATGTATCTCTACAGGTGACTTTATTCAAGTTCAGGCTTTAAAGACTTTATCTTTTTTTCAAAAACTTGCTACTCGACTTCAAAACTGGGACAAACTCTCCATTAAATTCCAAATCAGGCAGAGGAAAGGCAGCTGCATCAGCCACAGAATTCTGAACCTACAGGAATCTTTCAGAGTGAACAGCATTGCCATTAAAATGGTACATTTGATACATTTAATTCAATCTCATACTGAATTAAGAAAAACCATAGACAAAATCAAAACAAAAGAAATACTTTAGAAAATAAAAACACGGCAACTGGTTGACTTGAGAAATTCAAAGAACTGCAGATAACAGCCTTTCAAATACAGTGTACTGTGTCCAAGAACTGACTGGGAAGAAATGCTAGTATGAGTGGGGAGTTTTGGAAAGGATCCCTTTTGCCTCAGGAAAACTGAGGCCTAGAGGGACTTCATGGTCCCACTTGCAGCTGAGCTTAGCAAGCTTCCAAGCACCATGATATCAGCCAGGGTCACTATTTTATGTTTCACTCATGGCTTTAAAACAACATGCTACTAGAAAATCCCACTGAATATGAAATTAGAGAATTAACAAGGAGATGCAAATGAAGCCATGAAACATCCATCTTTAACCTGGCATGCCTGACACCATCTGTATACTGCCAGCATATACACAATCTTTTTCAGCTTCTCTTCCCTGCTCATTTTTCTTAGACCCTCTTGGAGCTGAGACCTGGCTCTATGAGTTTTGGCCACCAAAGGTGATTGTGGACTTACCTTAGTTGCTCCTTGCTCTGTCCCCACAGGTCAATGGTCTTCTCAGGAGCCATGTGCAGGTCCAGGTTGCAGACGTTGGGTTTCTGGGGGTATAGCTTGAGACACTGTTTCACCCAGTGTCGCTGGCAGCCAGGAAGGAAAGGGTTTGGTATGAAAATAAACCCTGACCACAAAGAAAAAAGGAGGGGATGGACAGAAAGTATGATTAGGCATTTTCCTGGGTTTTTTTCCAAATCTAGAGCAAAGGACATGTGTTGGAGGTAGCGAGAAAACACCTTAGACAAACAACTACTGACTGTGCATGTAAGCTGAAGAAATCTATTATAGTTAAATTAAAACCTACTGCAATTTTTCGGTAAAAACAAATGGTGGCCACAAGGTAGATGGCAGAGAGGGCAGCCAACACTGGTCCAAGTGAAAAATGACAATAAAGAACATATCTGCATAAGGCATATTGATTACAGCAAATAAAGGAGTAAGAAACTGGAAAGTCATTTGCTCTGGAGTAAATTTTATTTTTTTTTAATGATTCAGCATGATTTTTCTCTTAAACCTTGCAGAGTTAAAGTAATTCTGCTCTAGTTTTTCTAGACTTCAGACTAGATTTAGCACTCTCTGAACTCATACTGTCTTCTTATTGCTGCTTCAGTGCCAAGAACTGTAGAAAGCAGTACCCAGGCTGAGCAAGTCTCTGTTAATGTAAAAGGTCCTCTCCTTTGCTTCATGCTTATTTCCAGGTAAGTCTGGTTGTATCCATACGTATTTCAGTATGGTAACACTCAGAAAGAGGGATAAAAGTCCAGTTATATCCCAAACTGCTTGTTGCAAATACTTTTCAGGCATTGTTAATTAATAAAACAAAGTAAACATGTAGCTAATCTTGTGCATTCATTTAGCCAGGCACCTCAACAGCCCAAGAAAGTGGGTTAGCAGCAGGGTAACAGATTGTTTTGGTCTATATCTTAACAGACAAGAGTCCTTGACATAAGATCTGCCATCACCACGAGTGCTAACAGGATTCTTCACTGGAATTTTCTCCCCAGCACCTTGGAGGTGTTTCCTTTCAGTCCAGGGTCAACATATTGATGAATGAGTGTCTGACAGGAAGATGCTATTAGTTTGTATTGTACCTACTCTGAGAATCAAGGCACTCTCTCAAAGGCTGTCAATTCAGTAAGACTCACCAACACAAAATCCATATACAAAGAGATATAGGAGTATAAGAGGAACAAAGAAAAAGGAGGTTTTAAGGTTTTGGCCTACTGTGTCTTTTTGAACTTCTCAGTATATTAAGTTAAACAGAGACAAAAATAGATGAAAAAGGAAGAAGCAAGGCTAGGAGTCGGTCTCAGTAGGATAAAAACTTGCCTTGTGGCCTTATGAAAGTGGTAATAAAAACACAAAAAGAGCTTCCTGCCAGCATCTCTCACAGACTCAAGATTAAAGTAACTGGTTCGAAAAAAAGTCTTCAGTGTATTAATAACATACAGTCGTTCATTTCACTCCATTCCCTGCACTTTCAGGCTATGGCAGCCTTCTGACAGATGTGGTTACAAGAAGTTTCTTTGCCAGAAGCATAAAATTTACTTTCTGTTGGCCTCTGCATAGAACAGAATAACAATACTGCCCTTCCTGTCTACAGCTTTTGATGTGGGGTTCTCAAAGCACTTTACTACATTAATGAAATTACATTCTACTATGCATGTATTATCTCCAGGTATTAATGAAGGAACTGAAGCCTGAAGGGTTAGTTACAAGCCGAGATGAGAACAAGAATCCAGATTTTATGGCTTTTATATCAGAAGCTTAGAAGGCACTCATGTCTCTCCAAACCTTTCATTGACCTAGGTTTCTCCTAAGAAACCAGATTAGTTTAGATTTACAAAAGCACTAACAACTAAAAAGTGGGTTACTGCTATGCTTCTTGTGTCAAGAAAGGCAGAAACTGAATTTCTAGCAGTTGCAGAGCTTTACTATAAAATTCTACACAAACACTCAAGATTAATAGTGCTAGAAATCAGTGCCTCACCACACATAGGAGGGAGAAGAGTAAGAAATAAGAAATATATTCTGTAGCAATCTCTCTGAAGTGACTAAAGAACACCACAGACAAGCCTGTGACAACACAATTGAACCTCTTGGCCTTGAAAGAGTTGGTGTAAGTGGGAAAGGCAAAAGAAGAATTCTTTGGGGATCTGTACACTAAAGGAAACAGCCTTAAGGAAGCAAATGCAGTTCTCTTACTGCAGCAAAATCTTGCTACATAGTAGGAATTAATTTGCACCTAAAGAAAGTGGCCTCCAGCCTCAGTCAAAAGAAAGATAACACACGCAGAAGTCCAACAAGAAAAACCTCTCACAAAACAAATGTGCGTCAGTTATAAAGACCCAAAGACAGCATCGGCCACATCTCACAGAACTCAGGTCAACACAATGGAAGTTCATCCAGCTTCTTTAGTCTTACATTTCATTGCTGTGGGAACAAAACCAATGACTTCCCTTCCATTTGCCCACAGACAAACAAGAAATTCACACTTCATTTAGAGGGCTATTGGGGCAGTTGGTTAAACATCTCGTAGTGCTTTAAGATGTCCAGATAAAGGGTAGGTGGAAAAGGATAAAATATTATTGTTTTCAAATCCATACATGACTTGATTCTAAACAGGACAGAGAATTTGTCAATGTATTTACATTTCATTTTAGTGAAAGGTTTCCTTTCCCAAAGCAGAAGAAAAATGCAACTAAGTGGAACACTTGTGATTCCCCACACCCCCTATGTAATTACTAGGAAAGGTGTTTAGACAGACAGTAAATGACAAGCAGATCAAGTGAGTGCAGCTATAATACTACAAGTAAGTGGAACAAAAAGTGTGTAGAGGCAAGAGGCTTAAGCCTTTCTCCTGAAGTTATTCAATTCCCGGTGTATTAAACATGCCAGATGGATAGCATGGCTGCCTCAGTTTCAGAAATGGCAGGCTGGCTTCATAGCAACCCACACAGAAACTGACCGAGGTCCCAATGTACCAAAAGAAACAGGAGAAAAAACAAAATTAATCAAACAAAAATCCTTGAAATAAGGAGGATCTGGGGAACTACAAGCTCATCAGCCTTATCGAAACCCCTGGTAAGATTACGGAGCAAACTTTCAAGGCAGCCATTTCCAGACACATGGTGGTTGAGAACAGACAGTATGGAAGGCAAATTTTGTCTAACTAGCCTTACTATCTGTTACAGTGAGATATCCAGACAAGGGGGAAGTAGGGGATGCTGTTTACCTTGGCTTTAGAAAGCTTTCCACTCGGCCTCCAGCAGCATCATTGGAGCCAAATTGGATTTTATGAGCAAATTAAAAGGGTGAGCAAAAGGTGGCTGGACCACCAGGCTTAAAGAGTAGTGATTTGATGATTCAAAGTCTAGCCAATGGTTGTTATGAGCTGCATTCCTTGATCCTGGGGCCAAGACCGATAACTACATCTACATTAACAACCCGGATGATGGGACGTTCATCCTCATTTCAGTTACAGATAACACTAAACGGAGGCAGTGGTGGATATGCTAGAGGCTACGGCTGCCACTGAAAGGGACTTTGACAAACCGAAGGAATGGGCTAATGAGAACATCAGGCAGTTCAACAGTGGTAATCCTGCACCTGGGGCAGAATAATCCCATGCAACAGTATGGCCTGAGAACCCAAGAGGAGCTCCAAACCAAAGGGCCAGGGGGCCTTGAGGACCAACTGCATGTGAATCAGGAGCACTCCCGATACAGTGAGGGCTGGTGACACATTTTCCAGTATTGGTGAGCGCTACCTACAGGGAGGAGGGGAGCCAGATTCTTCTCAGAGGTGCACAGCAAGATTATGAGAGGCAACAGTCACAAATTACAGCAAGAGGATTTTTTATTAGATATAATATTAAAATAAAAAAATCACAGGAGTGACCAAACACTGGTACAGGTGCCCAGAGAAGGTGTGTAATCTCTGTCCTTGGAGATTTCCAAAATTCATCCATACAAAGCTCTCAGAGTCCTGATCTAACTTGCAACTTCATCCTGCTTTAAGTAGGGTTTTGGCCTATACCTCTGGAGGCCTCTTCCAACCTAGCCTCTTTCTGTGATTCTACTAGCTGAACTGCAAACCTAAGACACATTTCAATTTCTGAAACAACCTGCATAATGAAATTACTCTGTACATTGAATAGGCCAAGAGTTTCTTATCATTTACTGTACTCGGTGTCCTACACTAACAAGTAAATGCAACACTTCAACACTGGAATTGCTGTATTTCAGCCACTTATCCAATTTGCATGACATACATTGAGGAAAAACAGATTCTACGGAAATAAAATCTCTGCCAAAGGCAACAGGAATCCATTCTCCTGAGCTATGGTCTGGTTGATCTCACTGTGAAACAACCAGCCCTCCTCACCTTCATATATATATCACTGCATCCCACCCTTTAGCTAGATAAGATGGAAGATGCATGAATCCAAAGCAACAAGCTTATATTTAATTTTTCTTGAAATCAGAAGCACCTACCTGGATACCCATTGAGGCCATAGGCTTTCCACTGGCTAACTGGCTGTAATCCTGCTCTGTAGGCATCTTGATCACTGACTGAAGAAATACTGAGCTGTGATCTGAACACCTGGCAAAAGAAAACAAATCTGGTTAAAAAAAAAGTAAGAAACACAAAGCTTGTCCAAAACCAGCACCTATAAGAAAGACTGCTACCACATTCCAAAGTAAGTCTCATGAAAATGCCAACTGCACCACAGAACTACTGCCTGAACAGCCATGACCAGGACAGGGCATTCTGGTAACAGAGCTCAACATAAGAATCAAAGGATACCTACACACTTTTACAATACTTTTACAATACTATAGATGGAGAGAGGTGTCCTCCATTCATGAAAAAAAAAAAACCCAAACACTATGTAACAATGAGAAAAAAATCATCATTATTTATCCATTTCCACAGCACAGCCTCATCATTAAAAAACATTCTGGTAATTATCAATCTTCATTAGAGAGCAACATACCCATAACACTTAACACTTTCAAAGAACATCCCAAGTACAAGTTGCTCATGATCCTATAGGGTACACGCCTATTCTCTTCTGTAGTTCACAGAAGGAGAAGCAGTACAGCAATTATGTACCCAAAGCTGTCTGATGTGAAGGACTGCAGAAACCCTGTCAATTCTGAATACCACACTGCCACTTCTGTTCCCAACAGCACGGTCAACAGCCCAAGGCTTAGCAAAATATATTTTCTTGACACATTCTTTTAAGTTGCAATAACACATGTATTTAAACTGCAATAAGCCAACATTTGCAGAAAAAAACCCCAAACTCATCTACTGTGTTTCCACTCCTTTTTTCCCTTATAACAGGGAATTGTCCTAAGAAAGGCAGGGTAGAGGCAGGTAGGTTTTGTTCCATCTTAGTTCCCCAGTTCAGCTCTCCATGCAGCTGTGGAAAAGTACAGGCTCATAAAAGGAAAGAGATGGCCAGGTACAGTAGGAATAAGCAGGCAGAGAGAAGCAAAACCTTGTCTATGTCAACTTAAAGTATATGTGAAATTAGGGTCTTTGCACACAGACTCTGCAGTGGTGCATGTGTAAACCAGTCTCTCTGCAGGCTGACAACTCTGGTTAACATCTTCTGAGCAACAGGACTAAATTACTTACATAGAATTTCTGAGAAAAATCTAAACTGGTGCTGGGCAGCATCTTCTTGCAATGTGCTCAGTTTTGCCATTTTTTCAGCTCTCTGCCAAAAGCAGCTTTGTGACTGCCACCCCTGAGGAGTTTAGTTCACAGTCCTGTCCACAGAACATCCCCAGTAAGGCTCTTCCTCTAAGACTCTGCCACCTCTCTACCTGCTCAAACTGCTTCCACACCACCTGTTGCCTGGGCTTTTGGAGAACAGGCGGTTTCTATACTGAAGAATTATACATGCTGAATCAGTTAAATAAGCCTGGTAACAGGGCAGATGGGGTATGTCACATTTCACTGAAAAGCTCAATTGCTTGAAGCAGTTTTCCGAGAGAAAAGAAGCAATATTATCTGGGCCAATTTGCCTGGCCTGTAGCTCTCTAAGAGAAAAGCCAGATGTTTTTAAGCTGGGGGAAAGAGTAATAAAAGATGTTTTCTCTATTAAGCTGTCACCTGATCTTACAAGGTAACAGGCACAAAAAGAACAATATTGAGAGGGGACAGATGCTTGGGATGCTTTCAAGTACTTTGAATTTCCCAAAAGAGCCATAATACTGTAATCCTTTATCAAATATAGAATTCCTGCAAGCTCAAGAAAAGCTGAAATGTTAACAACTTCCTTGGTTAATGCTAATGCCTCTAACAGTGTCATACGGGTCAGGCTTTGTGTTTCATTTATAACAGCAAAGTTATAGCCTAAAAATAAAAAATTAAAAAAAAATATTTTAATAGAAGAGTGAAAACAAAAGACTAAGCATTGCAACTATGAAAAATTGACAGCCAAGTTTCATTTTAACTATATTCCCTAATCCTTTTTTGATGCAGGCTCATAAGTAAAAAATCTCTGGTTAACAATACTTCAGCACGTTTCTGTCATCCTTTCACGACAAAATAGAAAACTAGTTTTGAGGATCATTTCTCCATTACTCAAGACATGGTAAACTACTAAACACGATGGCTGCTACTTTCAGCTGTGCTCCTGATGGCGTGCCCCCAACCCACTACATCAGCTGAACTTGCCCTGATGACTAAGCCAAGCGTTTATTACAGGGGAGTGAGAAAGGAGAAGAAACTTAAGCAGTGGGAAGATAGCACAGCAGGGGGAAGCTGATCCCAGATCACTCAGTTGTTTCAGGGCTAAGAAAAGGGCCATTAGGCCCAGGAAACAGTATCAGCTCCGAAAGTGAAACTTGCTTTTTTTCTGTTCACGCATTCCTTTGCTTCTCTCAACGTGTTACACGTGGTTCTATTAGAGGCTTTGGAAACCGCCTACTGCAGTGCAGGGAGCTACTTAAACATAACGGAAGTAAACATGAGCAAAAGTAGTAAATCTGTGCCTAGGCGTCGCGCTGGGCAGCGGCGGCTGGGCGGCCCCCTGTGGCCTCGGGCGGAGTCCCACGGGCCGAGGGGGCCCTGGGGCCCGCGAGGGGAGGGGCCCGGGCCCTTCCCAGCTGCCTCTCTCGAGTCACGCACTGGTTTTTAAACAACACAGGGACCCGTAAGAGGCTCAGCGCTGGAGTGCAGTGTCCTCTAGCCAGAAATGGGGCAGCACTAGGGACTCGGCGTCGAGCAAAGGGAAGCAGCGACACAGCCACAGCCCCGCGCTGAGACACCGCGTAGAGGGCGGGACGCACTCGCAGCCCCTCGCCGCGGGCAGGAGCAACCCGGCGTTACCTGGCCCCCCGGCGCGGAGAAGTCCACCACGCCGCGCAGGTCGGACACGTCGCGCTGCCGGTAGAAGCGAAAGAGCCGGCGAAACGCGTCCTCCCCACCCTCCCGGGTCAATGCTGCCGCCGCCGCCATTTTGGGCCGGCCGAGGCGGGCGATGCTGCCGGGGCGGGGCGGGGCGGGGCGGGGCGGGCGGGGTTCTCCTTCCCGCCCACCGCAGGCCCGACATGGCGGCGGCTGGCGCGGCGCGGGCGTTTGGGCGCCGTTCCCGGCAGCTCTTCGAGATCTTTGTGGCTGAGGTTCCCTGGACAGTGTCGAGCAGTGAGTCTGCCCCCTCATCTCTCCCCTCCTTCCCTGGCCCATCCTTCACCGGTGCCGAAGCTGGTGGGGTCGGGCGGCCCCTCCGCGTGTGCCGGCACAGGCCGGGGGTCGGGCCAGAGCGGCGCGTTGCGCGGAGGCGGCGGGCCGGGGTAACCAGGCGCGTTTCCCCACAGAGGAGCTGAAGGAGTACTTCTCCCAGTTCGGGTCGGTGCAGAGGTGCCAGCTGCCATTCGTGAGTACCTGCGCGTCCTCTGGGCCGCTGTTCATGCCCTCTTAGTGAATCGGGAAAGAGCTGGTGGCTGGGCCTGCGGCTGAAGGCCTGCCCCGGAGCAGCTTCCCCGCTTCCCAGGAGCTGCTCTCTGGGAAGGCCTTATCTTGTACTCTAGTCTGGTTTTCAGTGCTCGCCACCCTTGGCTCCTTCTCCCAGTTGGGTGCCGCCACTTGTCTGCGAGCTGTAGGCCTTATTGAAACTTAATGGTCTCCGTTGGCTTTCAGGGAGTTGTACAAAGCACATCCCTCAGATCCTGTTGATGCTGCCAGTTCTGAATAACGAACCGAAGAGTGGTTTGAGCTTCTCTATCTTGTTATCATTCTTCTGACAGAGAATAAAGTTTTTATGTGCCTGGTCTTACTGGCCAAAATACTGAAGGTGTGGGTATGAACCTACAGTCGTTTCCTGCTGTGGGTTCAGACCCTATCCAGAGTGTGGGGCTAACCATAACCTCTGCAGGGTGCTGCCAAGCCTCTACCGTTTAGGCTGTTTATCTTCTGAGCATGTAGGTCAGGGATCGTACTATCCAGTGCAGTTTCTTAGAGATGAACGGTCAAAAAAAGTTTTCCTTTATGGGTAAGTTGCCGGCCATCACTGAAGTAGAGGTTCTCCTGCCTGCTTGTGTTTCTTCATGTGAAGTAATGGTCTGTTAGATTAAGTTCAGTGTGTAGTGAGCTCCAGTTAGTGAGCTAATGGGTTCACTATCAGTTGAGGACTAATTTGGAAATGGAAAAAGACAGTTTGAAACAGGCTGGCTATTTCCAAACACTTGAAGCTTAGGTGCCTGCCTGCCACACTGTTCCTTAGGCCAGGCTGCATTGCGTTGTTGCAAACCCAGCTCCATCACTGATTGAAGTGACACCCATGTGTATGTTTTGATTCAGCGATTACTTTAGGAGTTTCATTTATGCTTAAAACTGCCAGAGATACAAAAATCTGTCAGCAGCGTAAGACAGCCTAATTTAGACATTGCTGTGATACTGAAACCAGACAGTACCTTGTGGGCAAAAACTTCACTGGTGGTTTGGGAGTGCTGCCAGTCATGCCTGATGATCAGTGGCAGATTGAACCTGAACCTGATTGAACCCTGAATTGAATTCTGCTTTCTTAGTCTCTTAAGCAGCTGCTTTATCTTGCTCAATGCTTTTCAAGTACTGCAGCCACTTAAATGTCAGTTCTGTTGTGACTGGCTTATTAGTAGGTAAATACTGCTGTTTGAAACCACTCTCTGCATTATTACAGGCTTCAACTATAACTTAAAATCTTGAATTTTTTTATTATTGCTAGATTCAAATTGAAAGGGAGGCAGAACAGCCTTTGCTAGGCCCCCACATGCTGTCAATGATAGCAAAAGTCTTAAAGTGTGAAAAAAGCTCCTGAAACAGCAAGTGTGCCAATTTCTCTGATAATTTCTGAATCCTTAAATTCAATATCCACAGAAAGTTTTAACAGCCTATGTGAATATTTCATATAGTAATTGTATTTTATTTTTTTAACTGGTGATTAGGACAGAGATACAGGCTTTCACAGACGTTATTGCTGGATTAAATTCTCAACTCCAGAAGATGTTCAGAACGTGTTAAAGAAGGATTCCCACATACTTGAAGGTTCCAAGGTAATGTGCTAATTTCCTTAATGAAGTAATGAGTTGACACTCTGCCTGTGATTTGACACAGTAACATGAAAATATTCAAAGTGTGATTAAGCATTTTGCTACTCAGCATGCTTTTAACGTTTTCTAAATAATTAACACTTCTGTTTATTCCCTTCTCTCACCTCAAGTTGTTAGGGTCGAAGATCATAGAGATACCACAGAGATCACACTCTAGAGACCAAAACCTGCTATGCTAAAGGAATGTGAATGCAGTAAAACCGTTTGAGATCTGCAGTGCAATTAGTTTGTAATTTGCAATACAGGTTTCTGCAGATGGATTCCAATGTCTAATCTGGATGTTGGTTGACAGGGGAAACATGACAAAGTAATGCTAATCTTTGAACTTCAGTGAAATTTATTTTTCTTCAGCCATCATTTCATACAGGAGAAATCAGCTGCCTGCTTTCATGTGTTCAAGATAAAAAAACCCCTCCACTGAAGCTAATTTAAAGTTCTCTCTATCTTTAACATTTTACATGGTAGTGAAGGAAAAAATGTGACACTTTGGTAATGTCAGTGCATGGTATTGAGACAGTGTGTATGGTATTGAGACAGTGTGCATCATTGACTGGTCACTTAGAGCCAGACAACTGTATCCTCTATTTTCACTGCAGCAAAGAAACAGCCATCCCACTGCTTTGCAAATATTTAGTATGCAGTGGTGGTGACAGATAAGGAAAAAAAAACAGTGAGTCAATGGCTGCCCAAAGCCAGTGATTTATTATCAGGTCTTATGTCAAAATCATTAGAAACTTGCATCTAGTGTGTTCCCTAAATTGGGGATTTTCTTACAGACTTATATGTGCTTCAGCTGATCTCGCTACTCAGACCTAGTAGTACAGAGTGAAACCATGAGCAACAAGCAGGCCAGACACGATCAATTCATGCCTTTGAATAATTAATAGGAAATCTTCAATATCCTTTTGACAACTAGTTGCTCTGTCTTGAGACTTTGAATGCTAGGAGATGGTAAGAGTAAAATGAATTGGCAAGAGATTTCAGAGATGTAGTATGCTGATTGTGAGAAAGTGTTTTGCTTGACATGGTTCATACTACTGCAGTGGTCTTCAATGGTTGTGGTTACCTATTCCCATGAAGAACTGAGCTGTGAGTTACAACTGTGGTACAAAAATGGAAGCAGAAATTAAAGACCCCTTAAACTCTGACAAGACAGGCAGTAGTCTGATCTCACATAAATTGTGCTGAACTAGGGTGTTATCTGTATGCAATTACCAAAATAAGTACTAGAAACAGTATAGGTGAGTAGTGTCTATATCCTGTAAATTATTTTGCTGCCTTTTTATTCTTGAAGCTGTAAAATAGCCACATTCATTTAACTGCCTAGGCTTCAAGGCCTATACTCTCACAAGAGGTGCAAGAGCTAAAAGGGTTCTTTATAGTGAAATAAAAAGCAGAAGGCAGACAGCAATTAGCTTCATTTCTTAAAAAATGCAAGCTTCTCTAGAATACACGAGCACTTCTCCCACTTCATTCTAGGCCAGGTTTAGACAGTTACTTTCTATTAGTTCCACTTGAAAGCACAAGCTTTAAAGATGCATTTTGCTGATAGAATCAGCAATTGCTGTGCAATACATATTCAACTTTGCTGTCAGGAAAGCCTTATCCTGGGGCTTATGGAACTGAACCAGTTATAAACATATTTTCTGCTTTCCATATCAGTGTTCTGGATGATCGGAAATGAAAAATACTGAACCTTCTTGACTAGCTAATCTGAATAATTTCCATTGTTTTCAGCTCACTCTCAAACAGCAGACCCGCAGAAGACACAGTCAAAGAAGGAATCCAAAGGAGTGAGTGGTGGAAGGAGGCTTTATTTCACTAAATGTAAAGAAACTAAAATAAAGATTACTGAGAAACTATGAACGAGTACTTTTTTTAAAACAGAATCCAGCTGTTTCCCCTCCCTTGTTCAGATAAACGGTATAGCCACACTAAAGAAGAACTGAATCATAAACACCCCAGCATCTGTTACAGCATAAGACAGTAATTATATACAGCAGGAAAGCTTTTATCAGATTAAGTCAAAGCTTGAACTACCTACAAAAACTAAAGCCGTAGGAAGGAGTCTACATTCTTACCCTGAGATGCTGGGCAAGGGAGAATCAGCAAAGTCACAGAACTTGCTAAGAATAACTAATTCCCTTATGAAATGTTTCAAAGTGGTCTCTACTCCTCCTCTCTCCAGGGGCAGCTGTCCTATGAGAATGGGTGTGTGTACAGATCCGCACAAGAGTTGTGAACTGCTATGTTACAATGCAATCCTCCTATATGTGTCTAATATTAAAAATTCTTTTGCATGAAGTCCAAGCTTGAAGTCCATTTCCCAACCTCTCCAGGAGCAGAGGCATTCAGTCCTTCCTCCTCTTTTTGCTCTCATGCTCATGTTCTTTGGGGCGGCTGCTATCTGAGGGCCGTTTAGAACCACCGTGTTGCTTAGCTTCTTCCAGAAACTTGTCCAAACCAAATGGATCCTCCTCAAATTGAACTGGTCCATCTCTGCCCCTCCCTCTGGTGTTACGATCCGAGTTAGAAAATTCTTTGTCAGGAACAAACCTGCAGGAGAAGGTGATACTCAGCTGAACAACTTCAGAGTAGTAATTAAGAATATTTCTTAACTTTGTTTTCTTACCTGTTGGTCTTGATTCGAGCTTCTAGATCATCACCATACATGTCCTTATCCACATTTTTACTTGGCCTGTAGATGTTTTGGGCCATATCTTTGCCACTTCTCCAAGGCTGGTCGTAAACATTATAAATTTCATCCTCTCCTCCAGCAAAGCCACTGTCCATACCCTGTGAAGAACAGCAGAACACTACAAATGAGACTGCAAAACTTCAGCTAACTTATTTTAATGTCAAAATACACTGATGGTGTTACTCAGATACACAAAAATGGTATTGTGTGATTTACTATTGATTTCAAATTATTCCAAGCACTTAATCAGGATATGAGTGGGTTTGGGTCTGGGATGAAGTCCAAAGTACGTAACATCAGTCCTCTTCCAAAGAGCAACAGGAAGGATTATAGCCATCCATATTTCAAAATAATGGATCGTTTCAGTCTACCCTACAAGTACAGCTGTCTACTAGCTAAGTAGCTATGTGTAGCTAATGTGTATTATTCAGAATTTCTGGAAAACGCGACTTCAGCTGACTGATCCAAATCACACAGAGACGTAGAAGTGCCTGCTTGT